TTATTTAAACGTTCCAAAAATTAAATAAGTTGGAAGTACACATTTACTCAATGTGGCCTCCATTTCTAAGTTCACACAAGTTCTTCTTTGTCTCATACCCAAGACAACTCTTCTTCCTGAGTTTCCTTTATTTCGATTTAAACTTTATGGGGTGGTTTTTCCATTCAATGCATGCAGTCGGTATTTGTTGACATTACGCCAAACGCTCGATGAAGTTACGTCATGGAAAAGCTATTTGAAATTGTCTTACACTGCTTTTTGTTTCGAAATACTTCTCAACAATCAATGTTCTGTCCGGAATTGTTAGCTTTGGCATTATGAATGGTGATTTTAAAGTTTTAAACATCAACGTTCTAAATTTTAGCAAACTACCTTTAATTACAGTAAATCCCCAAGGGACTTCGAAGATTAATATTTCGAAGCATCTAAAAACGAGCTGTTGTACTAAATTATTTTTATTGTGATTATAGCCTTAGTTCAAAATTTTCAAGAAACCCTTCATTCGAAAGATGAAAAAACAGGCTTTAAATTGAGCACAAAGGGAAACTATGGTAGTTTATTTTACGATAGAAATAAGGATATTTAGGACTACTCCGCTTTTTTTGATACACCCTCTACAGGGTGTATCAAAAAAGGTAAACGAACTTCAGCGCGCTATTGCATCTCAATTACTCAGCGATATTTTTCTGCGTATAAACAATGTTTTTCATATTCGGAAAGATCAGGCCATTATAGCTGATCTTGATGATGTTTGTTATGCCAAATGGATAAAAAATGAGCAAGTAAAGGCCATGTTACACGGTGCAATTTTTCTTGCAACTTGCAATGCAATTCTATACTCTTGAGAGATGTAAAATTGCCAAGTACGAGTCTTCATTACACTCCGCTGATGTTTTCTGAACATATTGAAAATTCTTCACTGATTTCACTAATTAACATCTCTCAAGAGTAGAATTGCATTGCAAGTTGCAAAAAAAATTGCACGCGTAACATGGCCTTAAGAGTCGGATAAAAAATGTACGTCAGAATCGCATATTTTCACCTTTGAGAGTTGGGTCTAAAACCATTGATAACTAACTCCCTTTGGGACTTAAGTTGATGAATTTCACTTCAATACACGACTCGCGTATGCAAAATTATTATTAAGTAGGAACAAATCTCAGCTAAGCTATGATACGTTCGTGATTAATTTATTTTTCTTTTTTTTTGCACTGCTTTAATAAGCCAGAGAGGCGAAAATATGCGGCAGATCTCTATGAATACGAACAAATCTCGTTCGTGTACGCGGAGTAATTTAGGTTTATAAAGCATCAAACCGCATTTTTATATTTGCTTTCCAGTAATGAGTCACAAATCAAAATAATCTACACATCAATCAGCATACATGTATTGGTCAATACTCCGAGACAAAACAAAACAAAACACAGTCAGCTAATCTATTTGATTAGGCTCCTAACGACCATGTAGAAAATGCTCGCACTTTTCACAAAACTCAAATGGGCATCAAAATAAACAAAAACAGTTTTGAAGGAATTTTAATGACTTTAACAGTATTCTCTAAAATTATATGGAAATTATTGTCAAAAGTTATTCACTGATAATGTGTTGAATAGGCTATTGCTTTGTTTCCGAAAGGGGAAGCCAAAATATCACAGACACAGTGTTTGGAATTTATAAAATCATCATTACTGAGACTAAAGCCGACACTTCCAAAGTATAAAACGACACTACCAAAGTTTCTGCGATCACGGCAAAAGGAGTTTTAAATGGATAAACCGGCTAATACCGGGAAAAGGACAAGATAAGGACGGTCTTCCAGTTTATTAGCCATCCTGTAGACTAGAAATACAAACAATTTCAATCTTAACTCATGCAACAATCGTACGCTAGCGATTGTTTATTACCTATTGGGTGCTGACATGCATGCGTGTATTCAGTGCATGACATGCATGCATGTATTCGGTTATTTCTGAGCAGTACTGCCAGTGCAGAACAAACAAGCGAAGTTCTGTCACATAATTTTGCAGGGCCTAGCTCTTATTTTAAACATTAATATAATCATGATTTCGAAATTGGAAAATGCTATTTCACCATGGAGAATATATAATTGTCGAGAATCTTATAAAACATATTTTATATATGTACAGTTAAACAAGTGTATTTACTAGTAAAACTGTTAGACCAGATTCAGCATTCATACTGCAGGTAGGATGTTATTTTGCATTTGGTGTGCTTATGTTTAAATTAATGTAAAATTTAATCTGAAACTCTTCGTCAAATGTTTTGAAATGTTCAGTCAACTAAACTGCTTTTGGCGATAAACTGCATGCACATGCATGCAGGCTTCACTTAATAAAATTGTTGAGCAATTTCAGTTCGGTCTTCAAAATTAATTCGCTGTCCTTTACATTTTAAGGGGTTTTTTTCTTAAATTAATCAGGGTAATTTATAAATTAAACTTATTTCAAAAGGAAAGCATGCAGTGCATGTTTAGAGGGAAATTGAAGCAGCATGATTTATAAATACAGAGCAAGAGCTTTAGTGAGCGTTATATATAGTCAATATACAGTGGGCTTATACACGGGTCGTCTTACATTCTGGGGGACTAACATACGGACGAGGTTTAATTAACACTCGTATACGGCGAGCACCAAAAACGAAATTAAAGCTATATTCAATATGAGTTTGCGAACCAGAAAACAGCAAAATATTCGCTTCGAAAAAGGATAAAATAACAACAACAAAAAATTCTCCGGAACGTTTGACAACCATGCAGTGAACCAGATAGTTAGGAAATAGATTTAATATATAGAAAATAGCTTAAATATAAGATTTTTAACGAATTCATCAAGAGTCAGCGAAAATAACGTAAGTTTTTTGAGAATATCGCAACGAAAAACAAAAAATTGCGGTCAACACAGACAACAGGTATACTTTACTACAGTATACTACAATAAAATAGCAAGCAATAGTTACTAACTATTCGTCGAAGGCGAGGTGAGTATCGGGGAATATTCGCCGAGACTAAGACTCCGTTTACAACAGGATTCGCTGGTCACGACATATTCGTTTGCTGCCCCGGAGCAACGTTTAACAACAAAGGTTTACTCTTTCGAAAACGTCCGTATATTTCTGCTTGTCACTACCATTATACAGCTGATCGAATTAAGGTTGTCCTTCCAAAACCTTAAACCTTTAACTCTGAGCGCGCAAGCGATGATGGGTTTCACCTATCAGGCCGTTAATTAAACTCAGAAAATTGCCTTTGCAGCAAATGTTTTCTGTCGTGAGACTTCTATATGTCTTATAGGTATTCTTGCAAAACCAAATTTCAAAGTTAACGAGTCTAAATAAGCAATAATTATAACCCATTATCCCTTGCGCGCTCAGAGTTTAAGGTTTTAAGGTTTTGGAAGGACAACCTTAATTGAATTAGCAGTAAATGTTTAGGCTATTTCATGGACTGTTAAAATTGATGTCGTGATCAGCGAATCCGGTACAGTGTAAACGGGGCCGAAGTCGAAGTGAATATTCCTCGATAACCACCGAGCCTAGACGAATAATTGTTTTAGTATTTTTACACAAGTCTTTTGTGTTTTTCGAGACTGAATTTATTTTAATATCACTTATTTCTTTATCAGTAACTTACACAAAACGGCTAGCCGCCATTTTGGAAATTTCGGTTTTAGGTGAATATAACAGATTAATAGTTATACGTCAAATTTGACCAAAGTTATACGTCAAATTTGACGTTGTGCAAAATAATACCATATTATAATCTAACTAGTATATATCTCTTTATCTTAATATTGTAAACACCAGAGTATTTACCTTTCATACCTCAAATTTGTAAATATTTTGTATATATACCTTATAAAACGTTTCTTCTGCATTTAATATTATCTTAAAAATCACTGTAAATAATAAAATAATCTAAATAGGACATGACTAGTGGTCTAGATACAAAAGCCTGCAAAGGTTTCCATTAGGCCTCTAGCCCAAATAGTTAATTTGTAATAATGTATTAATAATTGTAATGTACATGGGAAAATAAAATTTAAAAAATAAAAAAAAAGGATTTGTTATATGCACATGTGCAAAAATACTAATCTAAAGTAATCTATTAAACGTTACAAGAGGATTTATATTTCATGCCAAGATCGGATTGTCGCTGAACCAAATATTATAACAGGATTATATTATTGGTGGAGACAAAACAATTATACCATTCGCTCTCGATTATGCATAATAGCGGACTTGATGCTATATGCTGATATAGCTACAACGAGAGCAATTAGTATACAAACAATGATTGTTCTCGTTCGTGCAATGGTGAAAATATTTTTATGGGGTAAACGTTTTAATAAATATTTTTTAAGCGGTGAAATGAAAAATTCCATCATGTTCCTGCTGTGATCTACACCGTAGGCTATAATCATTTACCGAATGAAAACATTTCAGAGTAAAGGCGCGGTAAATTAACCTGCGAGCAGATGGACTGATCAGTTCAGGTTAGAGGTTATGGTATAAAGGTTAGGGAAGGGTAGGTGGTGGTAAGGTTCCGGTATTATTGTGTAAAACAACCGCTGGCAATTATCGAACCAATCAAATTAATTCATGACCGGACAAATAACAATTGTCTTTTGCATTAAAATTTCGTGATAAACTTTAAAAAATAAGCAGATCCATAATGTGAACATTTTACGCATGCTCGTGTATCAATAAAACAAGTAACATATCTACGATCTAAATAAGCATGAAAAGTATTTCTGACCTGGAATTTCTCCTATGAAATACGTAAACCATCCACAACCATTGAATGTGTAATTTTTGCCATCAAGTGAAACAAAGTGTGGATCACCAAACATGCTAGCTGAAATGTTATAATATTTTAAATTACAATATAAGTGGGATATAACAGACAATTTGATTGACTAATGCGCATGCATTGTGACGCAATAATGCACTTGTAGCGTTCTGATAAATTTTGTTATAATATTAAAAAAGCAGCTATAGCTTTGTTTATATTTTTGGCTAAAAAGCAGACATGAGAGAGCAGACATCTGACTTTTCCGTGTTTTTCTCTCATGTCTGCTTTTTAGCCAAAAATATAAACAAAGCTATAGCTGCTTTTTTAATATTATAACAAAATTTATCAGAACGCTACAAGAAACAGACTAAAGGAACAAAGCGATTTTAACCGGCTTGGCATTGCCATTGATCTAATTTGTTTTTGTTGCGACCATTTTTGGGCAAAAGGGTGTAAAATAGTCGAGAAAAAAACAAAAAAATGCCCAAAACATAGAAAATGGCAATAAAAGCTGAATTGAACATAAGTGATTTAAAGAGTACATTAATGCTTCTGATAAAAACTGCTAGATCATGACCAGAAATTTAAGACATGCGCCTGCTAAGCGGACAGCAGAGTGTCGCGTGAAAACAACTGAACTACGAATGCAAAATGGCTGCCAACAGGAAACGAAAACTTAATGCAGCACCAAAAAGTAGTAACCGCACCAAAACTTAATACCGCACCAAAAAGTAGAAAATCGAAATTTTACTGTTCCTTGCACAAACTTTTGCGTAAGGAACAGTTATAGTTACGGCAATAGCATCGGCATTCACGCATGCCTTTTTCGAATTGTTTAAACAATGGTGAGTTGACAAAGAAATTTCTTGCTACAGTGAATTCAAATCTATCTTCCTTAGAATATCTAATATTTATATACTTTGCAATTCAAATTTTCGAGCAATGTGGCGCGATGTCCAACAACATGTGCCGGATTAAATAGAGTACGGGTGAGCAAAAATTGATTGCAATCCGTTATGAACATCGATGTCCTTATAAATCCCGTACTGCTTGAAGGCCTGGTCTCTGAGCTTCTTGTTGATCCCAAACATTGCCTGTATTTCGTGTAAAAATTGTAGTAAATTTTGTATTATTTTCCTTTCTGGTGCCTGTTATGTCTGTCTTAATGGGCTTGAATGACTGATAAATATGAGATGTTTTAACGTTAAAATGGAACAGGATAAGTACATCAGATTGCTTTGAAAATAGCTGGAAATATGGATGAAAATATGTACAACACAGATGTTTTATTTTCAGACAAATTTCATTGGTGTAGTCGCTGATCATTGGCAGTCGAGAGAATCTACTGGTTTTTGTGAAATTGGCCTGGATTAATTAATAGGATTATAATATTAGCTGCACTCATCGTAAAGATAACATACGAAATGGAACAATTTAGAGGTGAAAATACAATATAATATTTTCTTTGAGCTATTTCTGTTTCATATATTGAAGCGAATCAGCAAGTGCCAAAACTACTATCATTCTGACTCAAATATACCAAAATTGTTTTTTCCCTATGCATTCCCCTATAATGTCTGCGCCATTTTGTGTGCCATTTTGTAAGCATGCGCAGTATTGATATCCTAAATTTCTGGCCATGATATTTTTAACCAAAAGCCAAAAAATACATTAATTAAAAAAAAACTAAAACAGAGCAACACGACGAAACCAACGACTTAACGTCTCATATATATAGCAAATCCAACAGCCCAGATGCTGAAAAACTTTATCAAATTAGTCTGTGTATCGGATCTTTTTATTTCCTGCATATTAAACAGTTTCTCCGGAACTTTAATTTTTGAATTGTCTTTGCTTCTTCTCCCGCTTAAAAAATTCAAGCGACAGTAAAAACATGCGCGTGACGTCACCGAATACGTGTGAGGAGAATTTCGAAGTCGATCTTTTGAATAAAATTGTTTACTATGTGATATTTTCTACTTATATTATAAAATGAATAGAAAAACTCGTCTCCTGCATTTCGGCGAATGTTGAGAGAATACTCGCGAAGCGTAGAAAACGCTTTTCTCGCATTCTCCCGACATTCGACGTGTGCATTATTACCGCGCCATAAACGCACGGGACTCGTTTTCTATTTCTTAAATAAAAAGTTTGAGGGAAGGAGGAAAGTGAAAAAATCTAGGTACTGGAAGCTTCAGAGTTGTTTTCCTAAGAATACAAATGAGAAAACTAGTAGTTCGTAATTGTAAGTACGTTTAAGTTTTCAATTCGGTATCGGGTAACTAAATAACTTAAACTGGATACATGAAATCACATATTTATAGATCAAGTAATTATAAACGGTTGAAAATTAACCTGTTAATTGAATATTGAGACAGGGACTTACCCCAACTTGTTGGGAAAAACCAAAAAACGCTTTTGCAAGTTGGGCGAATACTGTAGAATTTCGAACACGATTGCAAAGTACTATCTCGTTGAGTGCAGCAATCCTCATATGCGTCCTCTTCATCCTTGTATTTAGCATAATTTCTTTCTGGATGGTATGGATGCCAGTGCCCTGCGCCTCTTGTCGGAAAACTATTGAGGACGAATCCATAATAGTAGCGGTATATATATCGAAAATTGTAAGGGTAATAGTAATAAAGGAAAAAGGGGTTGTAATAGTAGTATTGGAAAACAGAGTATCCGTAATAAGTGTAGCAACATTCATCGGCATCTTGTCGTCCCCAAGAAGTGCTAAATATGCAGTAGTTTGGAAAAAATGAATTTCCTTGTTTGGATCTTTGCACAATTCTATACCAGCGGGCTCCCAACGCGAACTTTGCCAGATCTAAAGTGGGTGGGCATGAAAGTCGACACGATCTCCTTGTTATCCCACTGTATAGTTGTTGACTGACCCAAGACTGACAGCGTTCTGCACTCGTCGGTGGCGTTGGGACCTTTTTTCTGAGATCAATTCCAATTTTTCCACGCTCCCTTAATTCACCATTGCTGTCGATGGAATCATCAACTTCTTCGATTTCAACTGAACCAGAACTGTAACAATAATAAAAATATATATATATATAGTCTCCTTCGCAGCCGCTCTTAATTTGTGTCGAGATTTCTCCTCACGAGTGGCTGCATGCTCACTCGAGCACGACATTCCTTTCCTCAAAACAACCAATCACAGTAATGCTTCAAAATTTCAAAAACATGACCTTGGATTTATTAAGATATTTATGTTGCTAAAAGTGACTGCAAGGGAGACTATAATAGTACTCGACTGTGATTGTTAATCTCAAAAATCTGAAACAAACTGATCTGATTGTTGGAAAAACAATGGGAAGTTAAAATCAACCAATCATGTAGCTTTTGAAGTGGTTCACAGATTGCTTAAAAAGAAAACAAACATAGCGCCGCGCTATATAAAGCGAAAGTTGAGTCAGGATGGAAAATATGACTTTTTATCATTTTTTTAAATGGAAAAACCTTTACCAAATTAAATATTACTAACAAACCTGACGTAGTTGAGTAAATGTTTCAAGCCGTTACTGTTGCATAATGTGACATAACAAAGCAGGGAAACTTGGGCAGATGTGAGACTTGTGAGCGAGAGTTTTGTGTAAAAAGTGAGAGTTTATTTCGTTTATTTAACTTACTAAAACAAGATAGGAGATAATACGAGAGTTAGTATTCCAAAGGTCTAGTATTGGGCTAGTAATGGGCTAGTATTCCAAAGGTCGTAGGTTCGAATCCCGCCGTGGCCAGGCATATTTTTCAAGCCTGTCCGGTGTGGATATACACTCAGAGTAACATCACACAAACATCTTATTCACCTGAGTACATTACACCAACACAGCAGATTTCATAAATATTACATTACACTGATATCGAAGGAACTAGACTCAGTTCCGAAATATCGCTTACTCGAACCGTCCTGACCGCGTAGCTCAGTTGAAAGAGCATTGGGCTAGTATTCCAAAGGTCGTAGGTTCGAATCCCGCCGTGGCCAGGCTTATTTTTCAAGCCTGCCCGGTGTGAATATACACTCAGAGTAACATCACACAAACATCTTATTCACCTGAGTACATTACACCAACACAGCAGATTTCATAAATATTAGTTTACACTGATATCGAAGGAACTAGACTCAGTTCCGAAATATCGCTTACTCGAACCGTCCCGACCGCGTAGCTCAGTTGGAAGAGCATTGGGCTAGTATTCCAAAGGTCGTAGGTTCGAATCCCGCCGTGGCCAGGCATATTTTTCAAGCCTGCCCGGTGTGGATATACACTCAGAGTAACATCACACAAACGAAATATTTCGCTAAACTTAAAGCCTTGGCCAAACGTAAGAAATAATGTCGCGGAAACATTCGTGATTTTTAATTGGCTTTTATTGCAGACGCAAAATTTCCTTCCCAGAAAGCAAATTATTTCCTACCAAATTCAGAAGCATTTTATGAAACACTCTTTATCCGTTTGCCGACGCTAATAAGACAATATGACATACCGAGAGATTGAAGACAAATAATATGACAAACAGTGTTTCCCAGTTCATCCTGGGCTTTAAGGGATATTTATATAAACTTGAAATTCATAATAAAAAAGATAAATTGTGGGAGGAAATATAAAATCCATAATTTCATTATAGCTATCTGTAATTGAAAGAAATTTTTTCATCTTTGAACTCAGATTTTCATCAGAGCAGTAAAATCCCACTTATTGGATCCTGGCCAAGGGCTTGTACGCTCAAAACGAGATTACATGTATTCTGCAATAAGCTGTCCTGGCTTTTGTCTGGTAAAGTTCTACTTCTTGTATTTGAACTATTACATGTATTATTTTTATATTGTGACATAAGTTGGTATTTAGCCACTATCTAGAATAACAAGGAACGATTCAGCCTGGTTTTTCGTGTCCACACTAGTTGACTTTTTCTTATACATTTGCTGCTGTGCGTTTCAGCTCCTCCACCAGGGTGCATTTTAGCTTCCCAGACATGACCATACTGTTACCCTGTCCATGAGAGGGATATATGTGTTGATAATATAAATACTGTGGATCCGATTGAGAATATTAGTAGGAAATAGGAAGTTAACCCCCCTACTCCCTTCTCATGTCCTAATACATTTACTATTATCACAAACAATATTTTCTCCCCTCCCTCCGGACGGCAGAAATTTCCTCTGTGGGGGAGTACAGGTTTTTTCTGGAACGACCCTTTGTAACTCGGATAATTATGCGGTCAAAAAATAAAAATCTCATGCAAACAATATTCGAAGTGTCTATTTAGTAAACTGTCACTTGTGAATCCATACCCATTTTCAAAACTTTATTGTAA